GGGGGGGGGGGGGGGGGGGGTGTCAATAACTGCAGCCTTGCTGTGTGACTAAAATGAAACGAGCAAAACAGCACAAAGTTGTGGTGCTGGGCAGCTCAGTTCGCCCGGCACTGAAGAATTAAGGGGAATTCTTTCGCGGTTTAGTGATGAGTGACCCTAGATAACTAGAGAACGCTGAGGTTAGTACGAAGTGCCTACTCTGCACACAACCCCAAAGGGTTTAAAAATTGTGGGGAAAAGATTCTGGAAACGACTCTCAATAAATTCAGTTGTCCAGCACACGCTGGTGACAGGCGCGCCCGCCCGTCAACCACTGTAGCTTCCCGTGATCACGTTCCTTTTGCTTGAAAGGCGATTGTCAAGTACTGAAAACCACAGCGTAAATAAAGCGCTGGTTGTTCAGTAGCTCAGTCGAGTCCGACTCTTTGCGACCCCACGGGCTGCAGCACGCCAGGCTTCCCTGTCCTTCACCCTCTCTCGGAGTTTGCTCCCCAGTACCGAAAACTAGAGCGAAAATAAAGCGGACCTGACGGGAAACGTGCGCTGTAGATTACCTGGGCTGGAGGACGGCACGCGAGTAACAGTCTAAGTTTGAACAAACCGCGAAAGGTGACGGGCCTCTCCGGGCACAAACTACACCTGCGAGGGGGCGGGGACGACCAGCCTCCCTCGACAAAGAATGGTTCAGAGAGACACCTGGCGGGGCTCGAGCGAAAGAGCCGGGCGGGAAGACAGGCCTTCGGAGGCTCGCGCTCCCGTTCTCGGCCCTCGTGCCTCCCGCCTCAACCCCTCGGGGCGAGGCTCGGCAGCAGGGTCGCCTGGCCCCGGAGAGGGCAGGAGGGAGGCGGCGGCACCCTCGCGTTCCTCTCGCCCAAGCCGGCACCAACCACTGGCACCACCTCCCCACAGAGCACAGAGGCATTGGGCGACACGGTGCCTTTTCTCACCTCTCCGCAGGGCCTGCGAAAAACGGCCACAGGGGCTCGAAACCCGGCGGCCCCCGCCGCCTTCAGAACGCAAGAGCGGCCGCACCCAGCGGCCCCACATCTCATGGGTTTTCCAGCCGGAGGCAGCCGGGTGAGAAGACGGGGGCGAATCGCGCTCAGGCTTTCGGGCAACGTAGTTCTGGCGCCAAGAGGATGCTGGGAAATGTAGTTTTCGGCCCGTAGCATGTCCACAGGGCTTCCCGGCACAGGCTCGCACCGCGCGCGGTCTCGCGAAATTGGGCCCCTCCACAGACTGACCCGGAGCTCACCAGCATGGTTTACAGCGGCTCCGCTTCTCTCACCGCCTCACCCCAACCCGTGCACGCCGTTACCGCCCTAAGAAGCGGAATCTTGTTTCAGAACCTCCCGGTGCCCGTTCCCTGGCAATGAGGTGTGCGGCTAAACGGCCGACTACCGCCGGAAAGCCAGCGGCCATCACCGGTTTGGGTTGGTGGACGACAGAGTCACGTCCAACCCCGCGGCAACCTGGGACTTGCAGGCTTTGGCCGCTGAGCATGCCGGGAGTCGCGCAGAGAGCTTCTGGGAAGTGTAGTCCCCCCGAGGCTCTAGTTTCTCATTTCTTGCCGCTTCTCCCTCTAGTGTACGGGAGGACCATATTTATTTGGTTTAGTTGCTGTCTTGAGGGAAATTGAATTTTCTCGTTTCTCGGGACGACCTGATTTATATATCACCATTTTATCTCTCTCAGACCTCAGTTACTCCAGAGTTTTCCCCACATGGTAAAATGTTGAAAGTGGCAGCACACAGTAGTTGTGGGGTTCAGATGCGGGGATGCCAGTACTTTGACCACCTCATGCGAAGAGTTGACTCGTTGGAAGAGACCCTGGTGTTGGGAGGGATCGGGGGCAGGAGGAGAAGGGGACGACAGAGGATGAGATGGCTGGATGGCATCACCGACTCGATGGGAATGAGTTTGAGTAAACTCCGGGAGTTGGTGATGGACAGGGAGGTGGCGTGCTGCGGTTCATGGGGTCGCAAAGAGTCGGACACGACTGAGCGACTGAACTGATTCTCTGTAAATTCTTTCATATTAGTTCAAACAATAAAGAACCTGCCTGCAATGAGGGAGACCTGGGTTCAGTTCCTGGGTGAGGAACATCCCCTGGAGGAGGGCATGGTTGCCCACTCCAGGATTCTTGCCTGGAGAATCGCCTTGGACAGAGGAGCCTGGTGGGCTGCAGTCCATGGGGTCGCAAAGGGTCGGACGCGCCTGAGGGCCTAACACAACAAAGTGGTGAACAACCGCCAGGTTTTCGTGGCTTAATTATTCTTACAGGAATGTAAACTTTGCACTCAATCTTACCGATTTGTTTTCAGAGCTTTGTGTCAGCCGCATGACAAGCACCGTTCTAAGCACTGAGACACATTAGAAGAACAGGAGTCCCTTCGGGGTACAGCTGAAATGACCACAACATTGTTAACCGGCTATACCCCAGTGCAAAATAAAAAGCTTAAGGTAGGGGGGGAAGAAAGAAAAGAACGAACACAATTCCTGACAGGGTTTTAACAGTGTATGGAGAGGAAATATAAATGATTATTTAAATATTGAAAAACAAAGAACAACCCCTCCTCAAAAAGTTTAATCTCACAGCTTAAAAAAAAAAAAAGGTATAACAGAAGGATATACCATTATTACCTGTTAAACATTTTCTAAAAATAATGATTGGTTCTACCAAATAAACCATCAGATACAGTCGCTCAAGCTACTGGCAGGAGGTTATGTTAGTACAACATATTTGGAAAACAATGTAATAATATATATAAACTCTAAAAATTGAATAGCTAATTTCACTTCTAAGAATTTACTCTAAAAAAAATAACCTTGTAGCTAAGATTTTTTAAAAAGTTTTTATTATTATTTATTTATTTGGCTGCACAAGGGATATTTTAATTGCAGCATGTGGGATCTAGTTCCCAGACCAGGGATTGAACCTGGGGCCCTCCATTGGGAGTATAGTGTCTTAGCCACTGGGGTAGGGAAGTAGCTAAGATTTAAAAAAAAATTTAACTCTTGCAGTGTTATTTATAATAATGACAAATTAGAAATAATCTGGTGGCTCAGATGGTAAAGAATCCACCTGCAATGCCGGAGACCTGGGTTTGATCCCCGGGTTGGAAAGATCCCCTGGAGAATGGCATGGCAATCCACTCCAGAATTCTTGCTTGGAGAATCCCCATGGACAGAGGAGCCTGGTGGGCTACAGGGGCTACAGTCTATGGGGTGGCAAAGAGTTGGATATGACTGAGTGACTCAGCACAGAACAGAAATAATTTAAATATTCAAAATGATTCAGTAACTTGCAGAAATATCCCTAATTGGAATATTATGCAATCATTGCTGCTACGTCGCTTCAGTCGTGTCTGACTCTGTGCGACCTCATAGATGGCAGCCTACCAGGCTCCCCCATCCCTGGGATTCTCCAGCCAAGAACACTGGAGTGGGTTGCCATTTCCTCCTCCAATGCATGAAAAGTGAAAAGTGAAAGTGAAGTCGCTCAGTCATGTCGGACTCTTAGCGACCCCATGGACTGCAGCCTACCAGGCTCCTCCATCCATGGGATTTTCCAGGCAAGAGTACTGGAGTGGGGTGCCATTGCTTTCTCTGATGCAATCATTAAAAAAACTTAGTGACAAGAAAATGTTTAATTTATATACTTATATAACTATATCCCCAATATGATTTTAAGTCTGTTAAATGATAAAAGTAAAGCCAACAGGTGTCATTAATAAAAATAACTCCAACTGCTCTTTAGGTGCTCTCAGTATACTGGAAGAAAAAGACAAGTTAGTGAGAACACAAAAGTTTTATTTACCTTAAATTCAATAATGATTATGAAAAAGTGAATCTCTTTAATATTAATACATATTATTATTTATATTACTATACAATTCTCTCCCCAACGTACATACACAGTATTGATGTTGGGCCAATCATATTCCTTTCTGTGGAATTAGCGATTGAATTCAGGGATTCTTGATCATCTTCTGAAGTTTGCTGGAACTATAGCAAGTGAATTTCAGAGCCCACACAGCTTCATTTTGCCAAAGAAGTACAGAGGCAGGAGCAGGGATAGCAGATGGAGTGAATCCAGGTGGTATTCAGCTAATAGATTTAGCCACTTCCTGAGTCCCTTGGACAGCAAGGAGATCCAACTAGTCCATCCTAAAGGAAATCAGGCCTGACTATTCAGTGGAAGGACTGATGCTGAAGCTGAAACTCCAATACTTTGATCACCTGGTGCGAAGAACTGACTCATTTGAAAAGACCGTGATGCTGGGAAAGATTGAAGGTGGGAGGAGAAAGGGACGAGAGAGGATGAGATGGTTGGATGGCATCACTGACTCGATGGATATGAGTTTGAGTAAACTCTGGGATTTGGTGATGGACAGGGAGGCCTGGCATGCTGCAGTCCATGGGGTCGCAAAGAGTTGGACACGACTGAGCGACTGAACTGAACTGAGACCTGGGCAGCCCAGGTGGCACTAGTGGTAAAGAATCCAGCTGCAAACGCAGGAGATGTAAGAGACATGGTTTTGATCCCTGGGTTGGGAAGATCCCCTGGAGGAGGCCGTAGCAACTCACTCCTCTGTTCTTGCCTGGAGATTCCCATGGACAGAGGAGCCTGGTGGGCTACAGTCCATGGGGTCGCAAAGAGCTGGACACTACTGAAGTGACTGAGCATGCACGTGAGACCTGCCTAATGCTCTTGTGTTCTCAAAGTTCTCCACTGCTCCTATTATTTGTCTGCTGAAAGTCTTATTTGATAAAAAGTATTTTTCCATAAATGTGTTAATATTTTCTCATGTGTTAAGAGGTATAAAGGAGCTAGTGCATATAAAATACTTAGCACAGTATATGGTACATATAAATACTCAACGAGTTGCAGCTGTTTTTAGTACGAATGCTTGTTGACTTGGCTCAGCGTTGGGAGGCCGCTCTCCACGGGTCTGTTAAGATTCTGCACGGCTCCCACACAGAGGCCTTGTCTGTCTCTTGTTATGGGCTCTCTTTTTAAGGACGAGAGAACTTTGCAAAACAATATAACGAACAGTCTTGGAAAGTACAGTGTCTCCCTCTGGAGTGAAAGTCCTCAAATTTACTGCCTATTATAAAAGATTTGGGTTTTTCTAGCTCAAGTTTCCTCTCTGTAATGCAATCCACTGCACACTCAAGGCACACACCGGGGCCTTTCTGCATCACGCCATGAGACTTGGGGGAAGGGGAACTGATGCAAATATGCAGATGCTCAAGTGGTTTGTTAGCCTCAGGTCTTCTGCTCGCATCCGGGCAACTGCGCAGGCTAACTTGTTATCTTGCAGATAGGTAAGATCTCAAACCCTTCATCATTCCTGATGACTCTGCCTTCGCTGAACTTTAAAACATTTTTCATTCTTTTAATTTTGCTCACAAAAATATCTGCCCACCTTGGTTTAAGTCTAGCTGTTGTGAGGAATGTAAAGAATGTAAAGAAACATAACTTAGTTCAACAGTTATTTGAGTTCCTACTATATGCAAAGATTTCTACTCTTCCAGAACTTGTGATATAACTGGGAGAACAGAACAAGCGTGCTAATCACTTGCACACAAGGCAGTCATGGATCGTGAAAAAGTGAAAGTGTTCTTCCCTCAGTCGTGCCCAACTGTTTGCAGCCCCATGGACTGTGTGTAACCCAACAGGCTCCTCTGTCCATGGAATTCTCTGGGCAAGAATATTGGAGTGAGTTGCCATTCTCTTCTCCAGGGGATCTTCCCGACCCAGGGATCGAACCCACGTTTGTCTCCTGCATTGCAGCAGATTCTTTACTGCAATGCAGGAGATCCTGGTTTGATTCCTGGGTCAGGAAGATCCACTGGAGAAGGGATAGGCTACCCACTCCAGTATTCTAGGGCTTCCCTTGTGTCAATGTGGGAGACCTGGGTTGGGAAGATCCCCTGGAGAAGGGAAAGGCTACCCACTCCAGTATTCTGGCCTGGAGAATTCCAAGGACTGTATAGTCCATGAGGTTGCAAAGAGTCAGACATGACTGAGTGACTTTCAAAAGTGCCAACCTCCCCACATCATGGCACTTCTTCTGTGTATCCTCCATGATGGCAGAGACACATCTGCCATCATTTTCACCAACAC